TGTCACAATCAATAAATAAAAAGAATGCTTCTAGCTGGGCATTAGAGTTTGAGCACTTAAATACTTCAGTGCAGTAATGAAAGGGTGCTGCAGTGTCTGAGATGTTGTTCTTCTGGTGAGAAGGATCCAATGGCATTATTTAAAGAAAAGCGGATATTTCTGATTGTGCTTTGGCCAATATTAATTTCTTGACCACCAAAAACAGATGGAGCTAACTTTTCTGCTGGATATACCTGGGAACTAACTGTTTTGTAGGAGTAAAGGCCAAGACAATAGGAGAGATCGTGACAGTAGTAGCTTTATTTATGCCTCAGGATTTCTGAGTGGCGATGTTGGCAGAAGGGAGTATTCCAGTCCTGCTGCTTCCAGCCACTAAAACTTTCTGAATCTCCAAGAATACCAAATGACAGAAAGATCTGGCCCTCAACTCCACTGACCGGAAGGCTAGTGGGGGTCCATGGGGCAGGTGAAGAATTCCAGATAAAGTAATTCTAATCTATTTGTGCTGGTCACTAGTAGTTTGGATTTAAATATAGATTCTCTGGCAATTGGTAGCATGGAGGTCCAGGGTCAGAGGGAGCAGTAAGCTTGAAAAATCTTGCAATTGCTCCTTGGTTTTTTTTTACTGCTTCCACTACCAGGACTGGGGTATATCGAAGGGGACAAGCTGCTGAAATGGCTCCACGAGTGGGATGCAGATGTTCCTATGGCTGCAGAAGCCCACTGTTCTGTTTGGCGCAGTCCTAATTATAAGATTGGTCCTGTAGCTAGTTACCTACCACAGTCACCTTTTGTGCAAACTTGCTCCACACCACCACTTTGCCCGGAACAGTGTCAGCTGGAAGTCCGGTGCAACGAAGAGGCTGTGGGCCTGAGGCCTATGTGGTCAGAGCGAGCCTGAAGTGTCGGTGAGGGAGGTCTCACGGCATCTGCAGCGTTGCGAGCCGGAAGCCCGAAGTTTCTCAGAGACCCGGCCCAAACAGATGAAACCGAGCCCTTGCACTTAAGAAATTTTACCCTTATTCCTTTAATTTTCCACGTAATGCTAGGAAGGTCTGTAACGTTAACTTTTAACTTTATTTCTTTATTTTTCTACTTATACTAAGAACAATGGTAATACTTTTAACTTTGTTTCTCTATGTTACTACTTGTACCTAAGATGGCCCTGTGTGTGGCGACATTGTACAGTTTTCACCGTACTCCTGTACTTCTGTATTTGAATACATGTGACAACAAAGCTTAAAGCAAACAGTTAAATCAAATCAAACAGTTTGAAATTTGCCATTGCCTGCAATTAAAAATTAAGTAATTGCTTGCGAACTGCTTTGGAGCATCCCAAGATTGTGATAAGCACTATACGAATACACCTCCTTTCACTTGTTTTCGCTATTTAGTGTTGGCTGGGAACGGACTTCAAAAAAATATTCTGTACTGAGCTTTTTCATACAAGACAGATATGTTACATGCATTCAACTTTTATGACAGTACCACAACACATCAAATTTAACACTTGAGTTCTGTCTTCTCTTTGGGCCTGGTGTCATTCAGCTACAAATGCTACATACATATTATATTTGAATCAAGAGGTTGGAAAATGAGTTGCACAGTCCCAAACCAAAATCTGAAAGAAAGTTGGAAAAACACTAAAGGTACTCAACAGTACTCCCAGCATCTGTGGAGAGAAAAACAGAGGTTAGGCTGATGACATTTCACCAGAAAACTCTGACAAAAGACATTTTCTTAATTCTGTCTTAAGTATTTTCGCCATTTTCTGTCTCAATTTTAAACCAGTTTACTAGTTTTTCTGCTGGTTCACGGGGTAAATACACCATTTTATTATTGTGGAACACAAACCCCAATGTTGATGATCTCAATCAGGATTAGTGGTGTAATGATAAACGGTCAGCTGTAAATAGCATAGCTCAGAGGTGTGAGCTCTTAACCTGCCCACACTCACAGCTGAGATTCACACATGCAGGACCATTTGGATAGGGTATCAAAAGGCAGCAGTCACCAAAGGAATTTCACCCAGCATGAAGCAACAACAACCACAACAACTTGTATTTATATAACACCTTTAACATAATAAAACATCCCATGGTGCTTCACAGGAATGAACAAGATTTGACACTGAGCCATGGGAGGAGATATTAGGACAGCTGACAATACATTTGGTCAGGAGGAATGTTTTAAGAAGTGGGTTAAAGGAGGAGACTTCTGCATTCAGGAGAGGGAAGGTGAAAACTTCAGAACTAAAGTGATTGTAAAAACAAAATAAGTTGTTAATCAAACCTTGAATCCAGACATTTGTATAGAACTGGAGTAAGTAGTTTGTGCGCAGTGTGCTATAGTTTAGAAAACTGACATACGCTGTTCTGCCACCTTGCAGCTGAACTTTTTTTTCATATCTTTCATTTTAAATTCTGGCTTTCATACCAGTGATATTACATTCGGTTCTTCAATTTAATATACAACTTTGCATTCTAATTATTTGCATTGCAAACACCATTTTTGCAGCATTTCATTTTTGACATTTCCATTAGAATTGTCAGTTCCGCTTATGATTTTTTTTATCAGCATTATCTCATTGTTTTATTTCATCACTGCTTACCTTTACCTTTGCTAGTGTAATCAAGAGAAATTGCAGTCTTCTCTTGTTCTTCTTATTTAAACTGATTAAAGATGCTTGCAGATGGATGCCTTGTTTCTGTTTTTTTCCCTTAGGATATTTCTATTTTAGAATTTAAGGTCTGTTTCATTGCTTGTTTCTGCATTTATTGCTCTTCTTTGCCCTTTCTTTTCTTACTTTGCAATCCCCTTTAGTGCTTGACTACATACTGTTCTATTAGGTTATTTATCTCATCTTGTTCTGCACTCTGACTTCCCAAAAAGTTTGTATCTTAATTCCAGATTTGTCCCTGGCTGCCCATTCAGACTGATTCTTATGGAGTACAGTCTTGTTGTCTGCTTTGAAGCAAAGCATCAGACTCCACATTGCTGAACAAAGTCACCTTCAGAGGGGAATGATGGCATTGTAGTCATGTCACTAGGCTATTGAAACACCTGGGGATGTTTTCTAATTGAAAATGCTACAAAATAGTGTGGATAGTTACTGCATCATTTTTATTAAGCTGTTATTGATGCAGTATTTTACCTCTTCTAAAATGCATACACCAAAATACCTGTAACATCCATTAATTTGATTAAGGTTGTTACCTTAGTTCTCAACAGGAATCACTGATACATCACATGGTGTTGGAATTTCTTCTGAAGCACGAATTTTGATGGATAAAGCTTGCATCTCATTGTGATTGAATGTGAGGAATCAATCCATAACCTCTAGATTCCCCTTCCTGAACAATTCTGCCTGGTTTCAAATCAACCATTCCTAAAAATTATTCGTTGGATGTGGAGATTGTTAGCTAGGCCAGCATTATTTTGTTGACTGGCAATTACCCTGGAGACAGTGGAGTTAATCTGCTTTCTTGAACCACAGCAGTTCATTTAACGTAGGTACATCCACGCTGCTGTTAGGAAGGCAGTTCCCGAATTTTGACCCAGCAATGATGATGGAAGAGCGATGTAGTTGCAAGTCGGGATGGTGTGTGGCTTGGAGGGGAATGTGGTGTTTCCATGTATCAGCTGCCCTTGTTCATATAGGTGGTCAAGATCATGGGTTTTGATGGTGCTGTCAAAGGTGAGTTAATGCTGTGCCTCTTGCAGATTATACACATTGCTGCTACTGTGCATCAGTGGTGAAGCAAGTGAGTGTGCTAGGCTGTAGATGGTATATCTTGCAGTGATATAATGGAGTTGAAATTACTGACCACAACCATTCGCCTTTCTGCTAGATATGACTCTAAGTAATGGAGATTGTTCTGCCTGATTCCCACTGACACTCCCATTTTACTAGAGTTCCTAGATACCATATAAGAACCGAAAGATGCTGTTCTGAGGAAGGGCCACCGGATCGGAAACGTTAACTCTGATTTTTCTTCACAGATGCTGCCTGGCCTGCTGAGCTTTTCTAACAACTTCTGGTTTTATTCCTAGATACCATATTGGATTACATGCTGCCTTTATGTCGAAGGCAGTCACTCTCACCCTGCCTCCTCTGTCGAAGCTTGGACCAAGGCCATAATGAGGTTAGGAACTGAGTGGTCCTGACAAATCCCAAACTGTCAGTGCATGAACAAGCTATTGCTTTGCAAGTGCCATGTTATCACAATGCTAACCATTCAGCCCATCCAGTACATGGATGTTGTGTGCACCAACTGCAAAAGCTTTGTTGATAGTACATCCCAAATTTGCAATCTCTATCGATTGAAAAAAACAAGAACAGCGGGTGTATAGGAACATAATCGCCTATAAGCTTACCTCCAAGTAACAAACATCCTGACTTGGTTCAAAATTGCTGTTCCTTATCATTACTGGATGGGGGCCTGGAATGTCCTACTTTAACAACTCTGTAGGTGTACCTACTGGACATGGACAACAGCAGCTTTGAGAATGACACTCAGCAGTCCTTTCTCATGGTAATAATGGGCAAGAAACTGGCCTAGTCAGCGATGCCCCCAGATCCCAAGAAACAAGACTGGTTTGGCTGAGCTGCACTGAGGGGCAATCCCACACTTCACCACTCCGTGGCACTGCATGTTGGTGTTTCATCATTGCAATTTGTATCCCCAAAATTCTTTGTGTGTTTATACACAGTAGGATTGTCAATTGATTTCATTTATTTTCATTCCACACATACTGTATGTTCCAAATGCCCAACTTCTTCAAAAACTTCTTCAGCTGCCACCTCAATTAAAAACAACTAGGTTCCTATTCCATTCTGGTAAACTCCAGCCCATGTTTTCTTTTTAAGGTGCCACGTACCTAAAACAACTCTTTTCAGAATTGGTACTTTACAGGGTGTCGTTCACACTTTTGTGCTAAATGGGAGGCTTGATTCAATTTGATTTAATCCACTCATTCTAATTGAATTATTTTCCAAGTGTTGGCCCCTCCCTGGTACCGCCTCTATTTGCATATCTCCGGGACCATTGCACTGATTGGCGACTCTATGTTCAATGAAGAGCTCCCGGCTCATATTCTAGGAGCCCTGAGATAGCAAGGCAGTCGGATTCAAGGAGCTAAAAGTACAGTGAAGAGAGCGAGCTGTCTCCTCACACTCTGGATGACCAGTTGAGGGCTACGGTCAATGAAAGAAGTGACTAGGCATCAGGACCGGGATCAGAGCATGGAGAATCAAATCGCTCGTTGCAAGATTGTCGTAGTTGGGGATGCACAGTGTGGGAAAACAACTTTATTACATGTATTTGCTAAGGATTGTTATCCCGAGGTAATTTTGATTTTCTTCTTTAGAATTTTTTTCCCCACAAAGCAGTCTAAAATCGGAATAAACCATCCGCTGTTTTGAGTAACTCGCACCGCACCGAGGTGTCACATTAAGATGTTACTAAGATCTTTACATTTTCCTGGAAAGAAATGCAATGAAAATACGAGTGGTCGCCGTTAAGTTTTTTTTTTCTCAAATGTGTAGTTATTAAATCGATTGCCTCAATAACATATTACAGCATTATGTGCAAAATCTGGCAGATGTTACTTAAAAATATTGACGTTGGGAGAATTTGTATAAACCAATTCTGCTTCGGTGGCGAAACTGGGAAAAGTAGACCGACTATATTGATTTTTGGATTGAGATATTTCCTTGTGTTTGTGTGGTTTCGGTTGATCTTTCTTTCTTTCTTTCTTTCTGTCTGTCTGTCTGTCTGTCTGTCTGTTTAGGAACACTAAAGTAAGCTTTAAAAACACGAAGGAGTTATATAATTAACTGTTTATGAAAAATTAAATCAAATTGAGCCTGATCGTTAAATATCATCTCATTTTTTAAAAAAAATCTCGCTTTATTTTCCTTTAAAGCATTTATGAATTCAGGTCTTTAATGTCACTTTTTGCATCTTTAATTCTAGAATTATGTTCCTACTGTGTTTGAGAACTACACGGCGAGTTTTGAAATTGACAAGCAAAGAATCGAGTTGAACATGTGGGACACTTCAGGTGAGTTGTTCCGTTTAAACCAGGGACTGCTGCTGGCTTCAGGGATGACTCAAAAAATAACAGGAGAACTGTGCGCCATTGCACCAAGCCGGTGTTACACCTGGACCGTCCAAGTGGGGACTGTGTGCAGATTCTAACAGCCGTGGTGGGGGGAGGTGGTGGTGTCAGGGTAGAACGGCAGCATCGTTTGCTGCAATCTGTTTTTCGCTTGATGATCTCAAGGAGAGTTAATCCTCCTTCCACACCAAACCCCAGCCCCGCCACAGAAGAAGTGCAGCCTGGTCGCCTTCAGGATGAAAACGTGTTTCCTAACACTTGGTTAAATTTGATTGTGACTTGCATTGACCAGGCGCCCGAGCAGATTGACATTCAAAGTGGCAGCGCCGATAAGCGCAGCACGTAGCAGGCAGACGACAGGCAAGAGGAATGCTTAACTCATTTAGACAAAAACTTCAAGGGTTTTGCATTTGGGGCTGTGAGGGTGTCTCAGTTCCCTGACAGTGCGTCCTATTTGGGCTGTTATGCCCCACAATCGCTGCGGTTTTGTTTTAAAAAAGCGTGTTTGCCAGTCAGTACACAGCCCTGAAACCATTGACCTTTCTAACCGTGTTTTTTTTAAAAACAAATAAAACATTAGACAAGCTTGACAGTATTGGGGCTGGCCTTTCTATCTTTATGATCTGAGAGAAACTGGGGCGGCACTGTGCCACAGTGGCTAGCACTGCTGCCTCACAGCATCGGGTTCGATTCCACCCTCGGCCGGCTGTCTGTGTGGAGTTTGCACATTCTCCCTATGTCTGTTTCCTCCGGGTGCTCTGGTTTCACCCCCACAGTCCAAAGATGTGCAGGCTAGGTGCAGCGGCCGTGGTAAATTGCCCCACAGTGTCCAGGGACGTGCAGGCTAGGTGGGTTAGCCATGGGAAATGAAGGGTTACAGGGATAGGGTAGGGGAAGTGGGTCTGGGTGGGATGCTCCTTCGAGTGTCGGTATGGACTCGATGGGCCGAATGGCCTACCTCGACACTATAGGGATCCTGTAATGCTGTGAAACTAATTTTAAACAGGGGGGCTTGGACAGCCTTAATGAAAACCTGCTCTTTCAAGCCTTGACTGTAAAGTCCATTTCAATGCTTGACATTGCTACAACACGCATCTTTCGTCCCCCCGGCTTGACAAGCTGAGTACATTTTCCATGCAAAAACGTACAGAGAAAGTCAGCGACACACCGGTAAGCTCCGGAGGACTACAAGGATTTTAGATATATGTTCGACAGTGTTAACTACAGTGGTGCAATCCATTATTTCCCTGTGCCTCCTAGGCCTTTCTTTCTTGCAGCTCTGAAACTGGTCGCTTGGAGGCGTTCGAGTGACTGTGAGGAGCTCCTGTTCTCTGTCCAAATCGTACCCAGGAGGTGAATGAATGAGATGTGTCCTCTCGATGAGGATTAGACTTCGTGGTTTCCTTCTGAACGTTAATCTAGCAACGTTTATGGAAGCATTTCAAACTGTACCTGTGGAGTTTTTAAAAGACTGTCTTCTGACGCCTGTGTTTCACTTCTTGCCTGTTCTAAAGTTGCCTTGCACGGTCGTGGTAGGCACAGCAGTAGCAGTTAGTTAAATCTGACGGGCCCGTATTATTTGGGTATTGCCTCCTTTAACCAAACCTGGCTATTATTAAAAACCGAAAGAACTGCGATTGCTGTAAATCAGAAACAAAAACAGAAGTTGCTGGAAAATCTCAGCAGATCTAGCAGTATCTGTGAAGAGAAATCGATGTTAACATTTCGGGTCTGGTGACCCTTCCTCAGGACCCTGGCTACTATTATTTCAGTTCGAATCTGCAATACAATAACTTGCAGTTATAAAGCAACCATAACGTCACAGAATTTCCAAAGGCTGGTAATGGAAATACTGGATGATACTGAGCCACTTAGATGTGAGGGTAGATAGTCCAAGACTTGGTCAGTAATTGGTTTTAAAGATTAGCTTAAGAGGGGAGGTGCAGTCCTAGTATCCCTACCTGGGTTTGGGACAAACTTTAGAACTTATTATTCATGTTCAAATTATGGTCAAATGGGTTGATTCCCAGCCTGTAAATGTTTCTGATCCACCTGTTTGTAGGCAGTAAGTGCAGAAGAGCTTCCTGGGCGGACATCTTGCAAAAGGTAATGAAAAACCACTGCACCTCTCTGCTCACAAAATGTGGACCATGGCTCATAGCTCAACCCTCAGGAACGAGGATAGGAGAAAATATAGGCAGACGTTCAGAGAGCTGGTGAAGTCTAATGAGGAAATTCTGGAGCTTGAGGCCTAAGCAGCTACAGGCACAGCCACAAATGCCATGACTTAAGTATTGAATTCAAAAGTAGCCAGAATTAAAGGATTGCAGAATCTCTCAATGTTGTAGGGTAGGAGCAGGTTAGAGATGGAGAGATGAAAGACCATTGTAGAATATGCAGGTGAGGATAAGAATTTAAAGTTGATGCTTTACCAAACTAGTGAAGGGTCAGAGTGAGAAAGGTGGCTGGGGAATGGGACTTGGTGCAAGTGGGGAAATGGGCAGTAGGGTTGTAGGTAGCCACAAGTTTCATTCAGGTGGAAGATGTGAGCTGCTGGCCGAAAGAGCACTGGAATAGTCAAATCTAGAAGTAACAAAAGTATGACTGAGAGTTTTGGCAGTAGATGAGTTGAGGCAAGGACAGATTGAGGAGATGTTATTGTTAAAGTCTGTTTTTGTTTTACAAGTGACAAATTAGGGTTCTGTATGAGCTTTACAAGTAACATCTATCCATTAAACTACGGAAAAGCTGTTCTATTGTATTTGTAAACTCATTGTTGCAGGCCTTGGAGAGGACTGTTCACTGTCTAGTTTCTGTTGTTCAGTATCTCTTTTTTTTTTAAAGTCACATTCTTGGCTGTGAACTACATTAACTTAGTACCTCTCTACCCCACCCCTGCTGATGCACATGGAAAGTTTGATTTGATTATAAA